CTTTCCTAAGAGGCCATGAGAACAAGGCTGTGCATTTTACTATACAGGTTAATTCATTTCTTTTTGCATCTAGCAACTTGCTAAGGTAAAGATAAAGGTTCCCTTTGCACATATATGCTAGTCATTCCCGACCCTAGGAGGCGGTGCTCATCTCTGCTTTAAAGCTGAAGAGCCAGCACTGTCCGATGAAATCTCTGTGGTCATATGGCCAGCATGACTCAAAGCTGAAAGTGAACACAGAACGCTGTTACCTTCCCACCAAGAGTGGTTCCTATTTTTCTACTTGCATTTTTACATGCTTTTGAACTGCTAGGTTGGCAGAACTCATTCCATTATACGGCACTAGGGATTTGAACTGCCGAACTGCCGACCTTTCTGATCGACAAGCTCAGCGTCCTAGCCACTCAGCTACCGTGTCCCTGTTTTATAAGTACTACATCACTTAAAATATATCAAGATCATCATTTTATTTACAAACACATTTGTGTAGGCAGGAGATATTCATTCAAAATTTAGAAGTTTATATAATTAATTGCTTTTCCTGGTATCTCGCTTGGGGATGCTTAAGAGCAGAGAAGGCATTTTCTAGACGATTGGGGGAGGAAGGACAACAGCAATCCTAAAAGTGCAAGTGAATAAAGGACTTCTATTGTACTTGTTGTCAGTATGGTTTGGTTTTTGGGGAGTTGTAATTCCAATAATTCTGAAAGACTTAGAAAGGGCTGGAAAATCGAAGGCTGCTCTGCAGTTATGGAAAAGCTATCAACTGTTAAGTCTCTGTGTCTTAAAAGCTCCCCCTTGTGGGAAAAACAAAGAAAAAGATTATTATATTAGCATTCCACTTGCAGAATAGACCTTCTAGATCAGTTTCTTAACCTTTTGGTGCCACCAATTCCCTTGAGATTCTGATGACACCACTTTTTAGGAAAGTGCATTTAAGTGCATAAATGAATACATCACGAAGGCGACCAGTTATACTCAAAAACAGTTATCAAAACATTAAAAATAAGATACATGTAATAATGTTAAGTTGTGAGTTGTTTCTCATCCAAGTTCAGAGACCCTTCCCTGAAATGTGTCCAGCCATGAATCCTTGCTTTAAATCTTTGGACTAGAATTCCTACCCTCTGTCTGGAAGTATTAGCTTTGCTAATAAAAATGGGAGATTCAGCCCAACACATCTGGAAAATAGCAAACTGGGAAAGGCCAAATTTTATCCTGAATGTTTCCCATGAGATCCATAATTTCTCTGACTCTAAGAGATTCTGGTGTAAATAGTAAAATTACATTATTAGCTTTTAAAACAAAAACAAAACCCAATCTGCAATTCTCTGCAACATCTCTGTGCATTTTGTTTAATATCCTATTTTAGAATTATAGTAGTTTCAAATCCTTATTATGTATACCACAGCAAGGGTTGGAGGGAGGGCCTTGGGAGAAGCATCACCCCCCTTGAGAAAAATATGAAGTGATCAAATGCAATAATTTTCATTCAAGATAGTAAAACTCATCAGTCCTGAGTTATTTCACCATTTGCAGTTCACTTGTTTTACTGAACAATGGAGAACAAATTCCATGGGTATACTTACAACCAGAACTGGACTGGCATCTCAGTCATTGAGTGAAACTATTGTTAAATGAGACACTCACATGATGCTTCACTCAGCTACTACAATCCTGGTACTCCAGGTTGCAGTCATTAAGCAGACTCCTGGGTTGGTAAGTGTTGAAGTGGAAGGGATGGCCGCTGAATTCAGCTCCCCTCCATGTGTGAGACGGGACTGTTCTTTAGGGTCTCGGCTCCAGTTCTGCACTGTGGATGGGCACAGTGTGCCATTTTGAAATTCTAATGAAAACATCATAATTGAGTTTGCAATCATAACATATCTGAAGAGCTTACACTTGGGGATGGCTACTTCACTGCCTTATTTCCTGCATCACTGATGCTTTCATCTTTCTAATGCAGTCATTAAGCAGACTCCTGGGTTGGTAAGTGATGAAGTGGAAGGGATGGCCGCTGAATTCAGCTCCCCTCCATGTGTGAGAGGGGATTGTTCCAGCAGGCTACAGGAATGGAAGTCAGATCTTTAGGATCTCGGCTCCAGTTCTGCATCCCACAACAGGAGATCAGTTCCTCTCCATGTGTGGAAGGGAACTGTTCCAGTGGACAGCAGGAATAGAGCTCAGGCCTTTGGGAAATGAGCTGTGTTTTTGAATCCTGTTGGAGGAATGTGGCTCTCTTCCAGGTGTGGAAAGGAATTGCTCTGGAAGGCTGTGGGAATAGAGCTGTAGTGGGTTGGGAGAATTGAGCTTGGATCTGAACACGCCAGAGGAGTTGGGCTTCTCTCCATGCATGGAAGGAAACTGCTTTGGTAGGCAGCTTCTCTACCCAACTGAAGGAGTTCAGCTTCAGCAGGCAGCTCTTTCAGCCAGTCTCCAGAGACAAGAAGGAGTCCTCTCAGCAAGTGGCAGCTGCTTGCAATCTTCCTGCTGGCTTCCCCATTCACCTTTTGGGGAAGCCAGCAGAGAAGACTGCAATTGGCGATCATATTTGATTGTGGAACATTTGGCAACTGGTTGTAAATGAGAACAGGCTGTCAAGCACCCAAAGTGTGATCACATGACTGTAGGGGATGGAGTGGATGGGCACAGTGTGCCATTTTGAAATTCTAATGAAAACATCATAATTGAGTTTGCAATCATAACAATATCTGAAGAGCTTACACTTGGGGATGGCTACTTCACTGCCTTATTTCCTGCATCACTGATGCTTTCATCTTTCTAAAAACTCAGACATTCTACAGCAGTGTTTCTCAACCGTGGCAACTTGAAGATGTCTGGACGTCAACTCCCAGAATTCCCCAGCCAGCGTTCGCTGGCTGGGGAATTCTAGGAGTTGACGTCCAGACATCTTCAAGTTGCCAAGGTTGAGAAACACTGTTCTACAGTAAGTTGAGCTTGTCAGCCAGTCAAGTGAACCACAAGGTCTGAACAACTCATTCCAACCCTCCAATCACTTGCCGTTCCTAAACATGACTCCCTTGGAGAAAATCTCCTACTTGTATCCTCATCAACCCTACTGACTACATGGTTTTATTGTCACCTTAAAAGGGCAAGGAATGTCACCCTCCGAGTGTAATTCTCAGCAGGTTTTCATCACACTGACAAAAACAACAATGTACATTTTTACCCTGTTAAAACCTTCCAAAATTGCTTTTGATTTACAGATAGCCTAAAGAAAATTACCGCCTTGCTTTCCATAAATTTGCTGCTATACCAAGAAAGCAGATAAAAAAGATAACGCACACACCCTCTGGTCTGCAGATATGTTTCTTTTTTTGTAGTCACCATACTCTACAATAATTTCTGTTTTAGCACATGCAACATTATTAAAAGTTCTCTGTGGAATGCAAGGAAATTTGAAACTGATTGCAATGCCCAGGATGGAGATTGTGACAGAATCCAGATGGGGGAGCTAGATGAGAGTTGGGATGACAGCATGTTGCCCCGAAGCAAAACATCCCAGCATGTAGAAAACCAGCATGATCTTTCTCTAATGATAGTTTTCCTATATGCATGGAGGTGTTGCTTCAGACATTCTCACTAATTATACACTGAGAAATTGTATGTGCACCTCCTGCACTGATATGTCTTATTTTCATGTACAATACTTGTATATTCCTGAACTCTATTATCACACTGGGCCAGAACCAACGTGTCTACTGTCCCTGTCCTAATGTCCTAATGTTTTTATTCGTATCCTTTTCATGTATTCAAAATCATGTTTATACCTTTATCTGTTATCTTTCTATAACAGGACTAGGAGAGATATGATAGCAGTGTTCCAATATCTCAGGGACTGCCACAAGGAAGAGGGAGTCAAACTATTCTTCAAAGCACCTGAGGGTAGGACAAGAAGCAATGGGTGGAAACTAATCAAGGAGAGAAGCAACCTAGAACTAAGGAGAAATTTCCTGACAGTTAGAACAATTAATCAGTGGGACAAATTACCTCCAGAAGTTGTGAATGATTCAATACTGGAAGTTTTAAAGAAGATGTTGGATAGCCATTTGTCTGAAATGGTATAAGGTTTCCTTTCTAAGCAGGGGGTTGGACTAGAAGATCTCCAAGGTCCCTTCCAACTCTGTTATTCTATTCAATATATGCTTGACAAAATAAAAAATAAATAAAATAAAGAATCTATAATAGGTTGGTTTAGTGGGGGGGAGGAATGCAGAATTTACAGAAGAAACATTTAGCCTTCTTGACAGCAAACAAGATGGCCAATACAAAAAAAAAATCAACCTATATAAATGTAGTCTGCAAGATTTTGTACTTTGGGGGTGAAATCCAAGGTAGGCATTACAGTTAAGGGCTTCCTTTGGATTGATTTTAGCAGATAGTTTCAGATGGTTTTGATTTGTTGTACAACAAA